CCATGACTCGTGAATGTTTGAGGCCCCTGTCCTTCCAGACCGAGTGCGATGCCGCGTTGGGACTTTAGCCAATTTCGTTGGAACATAGCTGGATTCGGGAGAGTTTCCGGGTCACATCAAAAGATGGCGCAGCTCAAAAAAAATTGCTAGTGCAGAAAGAGAAGAAAGCCGAACTGCATGGTGATGTGAATTATGTGTCAGTCCCAAGACTGCCGCAGCTCCAAATCCCCCCATGTCACAACCAGCCCAAGCCAGCAGCCACCAGCCATCCAGCCATGAGGTCCCGCTGTCGAGAGAAGGATTTGGAGAACAAGTTGGCCTTTTTCGAACACAAACTGCAGGAGTACAATGATGCCGTGACTGCCTGTGATCAGTCCCGCTTGGGCCCGGAGACCGAGATCTGGATGATCCTGGGTTTGTTGGTGGTTTTGAGGGAAAACCTCGGCAAACGAGAAAAAAAATGTGGTAAACCATAAAGCCAGGTTTTGAAGCTTTAGAAACCTCTCAAAAAGGAAGTAGTGAACTGCGTGCGATGGCCGAAGCAAAAGAAAGAGAGGTTCACCAAGGTGATCAGAGGATGTCATATCTCTTCCAATCACACATGAAACATCCTAAGAATTGCCTTGGTCGGATGTCACGGGTGTATCCCTTTTCGCGGCATGGGATCCTCCAGGCTGCAACGCCTCCTACGCTTGCTCCGTGAAGCAGGCAGCTTGGAAGGTGCAGCTGTGAGACTTGCGGGATATAGTTCTGAGACAAGATTATATCATAGATAATACTACAGATCACATATAACAGTACTATAGAATACTATCAGATCTATATATGATGTGTGGTACTTCATAGATTTGTAGTCTCATACTTATATATATATACACTTAGTATATCTAAGTATTGGATACAACTACAGCTGGATTTTACTGGCACCCCGCTCCAACAGCGCAGGAGAAGCACTCCCAGTGCAACGGCAACCAGACCACCTTCGAACAGGCGGCCATGGCCATGGCCCATGGGGCCTATTGGCCCATCGATAAGATGTTGACCGAACTGGTGACCGAACTTGGTGCCAGTGATGTTTACCATCTGGTCATGACTAACAGTTTGCCATGGAAAATCACCATGCTATTAAGAACGGTAAACCATCTATTTCGATTAGGGCCATCTTCCATGGCTATGTTAGTCATAACCAGAGGGTAATGGTTGTTAGATTACCAGAGTGTATACCACTGTATACATCTGTCTACCATATATCTTGGCTACACAATGGGTACATGATGTGGAAAGCTTGGTGAAGGGTATCGGGACATGTTTAGTGGCTGGGATATACCAAGGATACATCGTAAATATTTGGGACATTTTGATGTCAGGATTTTGCAAGTCGCAAAGTCCTTTTGCGGTCGACTTTGGGCCCCTCTTTTTCAAGACTCTTCAATAGAACTATTAATGGATGTTTCCCAGCTGGATGGTTTAATGGAAAATCCATCGAACTAAATGGATGAAAACTAGAGGTACCCCCATGACTTCGGACACCGTGAAGCTGTGAAGCTGCACAAAGCTATCCCATTGGTTTCCATCGGTTTCCATCAGGCCTACTGCGATTTGGCCGGATCGCAGGAGGCGCTTTGACGTTTTGACAAAGCTGACATGAGAAACTCCAGGGTTTTTGTCGATGAGGCATACCAAAGATGTGAAATAAATGATGTCAACTATGTTACAATCATTATTTTCCAAATAAAATTTAGTTAAAATTATGTCAACAATCCCATTTGACTGGAGTTTGATCCAATTTGGGGCTGAGCGGTTGTGAAAAAACCTGTTGCAGCTTGTCACCAAACCTGCTGGCCTTTCTAGCAAGTGAGTCTTCGACGATCCAATCAGACAGTAAGATTCCACCTTCCAGGGATCCAAAATTGGGATTCCAAAAAGGTGAAATTCACATGACTTCAGCACATCGAATAAATCGACAGAGGAAATCTGCAGATTTTCTGGTGGCTCTGGTGGCTCTGGTGGCTCAGGCTCATTGGGACACCTACTCTGGCTGCCACGATCGTAGCTTGAAGTCTTTGGAGGCGGAAGAACTGAAACAGGAGCCGCGGAGAGGATGGGGACCGGGGGATGGGGACCCATGAAATGGTTTTTTTTTGGGGAACAGGATGAAGATTTTGTGATGGAGTTTTTGGATGTTTCTTGGACAATACTTCCAGACAAGTATCGATTTTTACAGCAGTTTTTGGAGTTTTGGGTGGTGATAATCCTATGGAGATATTGCTAATTGGAGGGGCCCCATCTCTGCCGGGGGGTATAGCGAGTTTACAAATGGACTGCAACGAGCATACAAATCATCCAGTGTTCGAATATCAGAACCTATCCAGGCAAAAACAATGTAGAGTGTCTCAGGAAAAATATGTGGAATTTTCACCAACAGACAAGGGGTCATTGGACCCACGGGTGAACATTCGACCTGAAACTCGATTCTATGGTGAATATCAGGAGGGTTTGCTCACTGGCCGACGACAGGACATGGGGAATTCTGGGGTTGTGAGGAGAATGGATGCAAAATGATAAGTAAAATGATGCAAATCAAATTTTGATCCTCTTTTCCAGGGCGTTGGTCAACTTGCATGGACAGATGTTTTGGATCAGCTACTGGAACCGGGAATGAAGATAGGGATGTTGACCAAGGACACATCGAAATGCGAAGCCAAACACGAAGAAATAATGAAATTCCATGAAACATCACTCAATGATACCGGTTGATTGGATTTGATTGGCATTCCTGTTCTACCCTTTGCTGTTGAAAAACTGAATGACTTGATGATTAGAATCCCAACCAGTGCCTTTTGTCGTTTGGTACACTTGGTGCACGGTGCACAGGAATGGCGTGGCTTGAAACGTATTGAATGCCTTCTGGGTGCTTTGACCGCCGAGGCACACATTGCATCATCTCATCCCAGTCCAAGCCCTCAATGCTGACAGTTGGTGGCTGCCAGACGAAGAGTTTAAAGTGGAAGTCATCGATTTTCTCGATGCTTGGGAAAGCATCCCTGTAATCAATGGATTGTTCCAAGGAAAAGATGGCAGAGAACTATGACTTCCTCACCCATTTTGGGACCTGAATCCCCAGTATAAGGTCCCATGCGTTGGTCAAAACCCACTTTTTCCACGACGTCCAGGATCAGACCGCCGCATTGGATGCCTGCATCAAGAAGAACCACACCATTGATGCTGAAGAAGAACTGAAGCTCACGCCCCTTGATGGGATGTGAGTTATACAGTTATACAGTTATGTACACTTATACAATGTGATACAGGTAAAATCAGGTAAATATAATATATATATATACACATATGATATAGCCTACAAACTGAGGTTGTAGCAGTATAAAAAGAATTTTCACAACTCGTTCACCGGATCCAAACCTCCGGCCGAGGTATCCCACCAAGGTGGGCTCCGTGCCGTCCAAGTCTACTTGCCATGAGAAGCTGAATGCCCCTGGCACCGCGTAGCTCAGAAAATGGCTAGTGGTCTGGAACCCTCATGAATTCTGACTTTTTTGGAGTAAAACAAAAAAAATGGGATTTCGAGCCCAATGGTTCAGGGAACAAGAAACAAAAGATGTGCGAGACACTGACATCTACATGAACGCCTCACTTAACCGGTCCTGAGCTGGGCAGGTGAATTTCAAGAGCGGTAGGATGCCATGGAAATGTGGGCGGATAATCTGTGAGGGTCAGAATTGTAATCAGCCATCCTTCTTGGTGAGGGTTGTTGAGATCGTCATTTTCCTGAAAATAGCTGCAGGAGACCAGATTTTCACGGATTTCTTGTGGGTGTTTTCTGGCCACCACATCATTGCATCATTGCATCATTCCAATCCATGCAGACGAACAATTGTAATGGATGCATAATTATGGATGAATACAGACTGTCATTGCATCATTCAGCAGTTATGCCATGATAATAATACAGATTTCATCCACTTTTCATACAGTTATGGATGACAGTTGCTGACAGCTGCTGAGGTATTTCTTGAAGACCTTCTATTCCGGGGTGCCGGAAGTGCTGATGCCAACCTCTCTGACCACCTACTACTGCGTGCCTTGTCGATGATAATCAGGGAATGTGAAGCCATTGGTAAAAATGAGGCGCGCTATACTAAGCATAAAAATTAGCATTCAACAATGTGGATTGTAGTGACATGTAGTGACCATGTTGCTGCAAAAGGTGCTTGTTCTCAGTTTCACATTTTCACCCATCTGATGATAGCTTTGCTTCGGTGTTCTGGGAAGGTTCGGAACTTGAGAGAAGTTGTTTTTTGGAGCTGCTCCTGCTCCTGTACCCAGAATCAGCATTGGTTCTTGCAATGTCCGATTTTCTATCGCCAATACCAAGTTGGTATTGGGTATACCCATGTGTTACATGTATACCCACAATTATGAGTTTCATCCAGGTACCAGCAGGTATATCAATGGGGGCTAATTAAACGAACATCTGCTTCACACAAAACACAACACGACGATCAGAGATGCAGATTCTGTTTCAGATCACAATTTGGTACCCCCGTCAACTTGATTGGTTCATCGACCAAAAAAAAACAGTGGTGTTTAATACCAAGGTCTCTGGCTTGAGCACCACCTACTGCCCTGTGGCCTCCTCCTCCCTGTCCTTGTTGGCCAAGGTGGAAACCACGTGGGTTTGGTGAATATTTGAGGGAAAACCATGGGAAAACCTCACCAAATCCAGTGCTTTGTAGTTTTTTATTACCATTTTATTACCAAATCCTTACACATATATAAGTACATATATATATATATCTATATATATATATAGAGAGAGAGAGAGATACGCATGTAATAGATATCGGCACATATATCATAGAGACGGGAAATTTCACCGGAAACCTCATCGACAGGTCAACGGCCGCATGCCGGTGGTGCCGCACATCAAGTCCCGTGGCAAAGTTGGAAATTTCGCCGGAAAATTGAAGGGTTGTGCCGGTTGTGCAGCCCAAAAATGATATTGACTGATGTTGACTCCAAATCCTTGGGGATAGGAATCCTATGGAATCCTCACTTTGGGCGAAAGAAGACTTTGTGGCACTTTATAATATCAAGGAACAAAGAGCTGATGACAATGATCATCATCGCCGTCATTGCCATGATAGTTTGATGTGGACTCAAGTCCCCTTTGACTTTCACCATGGTTTTGTATACTCCTTCGTAACTTCGTCTCTTTTTGTTCCATTCGAAATCTTGAGAAATGAATTCGAAAGAGAGAATGTGAATAGAAAGAAATGAAGATGCAGAAATGAATCTGAATCGAGTGAAATGAGCTGATTCTGAGGTGATTCGAGTGTTTTTTTTGTTTCAGGTGCGTTGCGTTCTGTTGGTCGTTCGTCGTTCGAGACGTCGAGACATTTCCATCCAGGTGAGCGACGCAGGACGCGACGCAATCTGCGACCATCGCCTTCACCGAGCGAGGGAACAAGCGCTGCAGTTTTCACCGTTTTGGCGCAGGGCTGGGCCCTACGTCCTCCCAATACCGTTGAAAAAAACATATAAAAAATACCATGTAAAAAATGTAAAAAACACATGCTTAAAAAAAATATCTGATGCCCTAAGGATTGTGGATTTTTTTTTTGACTTTAGCCACAGCTGCGAATGCAGTGGGAATGCAGTTGTCTTGGGCCTCGCATCTTCAGCGTCATCTTCAGCGTCTTTTTTAAAGTTGTTATGTTTGTAATGTTTGTAATGTTTGTAATGTTTTGTTCTCCTGCATCAATGGCAGTCAAGACAGGTTGCTTTGTATTGTTTGACCATGTGTTTCAGCATTGGTGGAAACTTCATCTCCATGGAAAGTTGTGGATCTACCACAACACTGTAGCATGACTACCAGACAAATCTACTTGAAACAATCTGACTACAGCACACGATGTGTACATTTGGTGCCTGATTTCTCCATCGTCGCGCCGCATTGCGTAGAATTGGGACCTCAAAAGTGGGTGCATTTTCACCACTTTGCGAGGGGTAAAGTACCTGTCCATCTCAACTTGGCTCACAGTTCTCCAACGATTCTGGTGCCGCGGGCCGCTGCCAGCGCGGGTTGTCACCATGATCGATGAAAGGCGGACGCCAAGGGGCGAGGGGACGCCTTGGATCGTCCAAGATCTTCGATTTTGGAAAGCCAATTGTATGGGGATGGCGGGCCGTCACATTCTCATCCAATCTTTTCATAGACATATTTAGACATATTTAGACATATTGAAACATCTAAACATTGGCTTGTACGTGAGAAACTCACATCTGGTCGATTCCGCTCTAGGCAAGGCGTGCCACGACTTGTCGGGGGCCCAAGCCACTGTTGGGTTGTGAATGTGAAGAGTGGGAACTCAGCTTTCAGCCAGGTTTGAATCCATCTGGGTACAGGGGCATGCCATTTTGCAATATGACCCGTGGCCTACATTGCCTACATCCACCGTGAGTTTCGTGATCATTCCCAGGTGGTGCATAATACATTTCTGGAGTTTGACGATCAATCAAAGGAGGTGTGGAACTGCTGTGGAAAAGTGCGATGGAATCCTGGAGGGATTTGAAGTCATGATTTCGTGAAAGGCGTTTTTTTTCCCAATGATTCCAATGGTGCCAAGATGAAGGGATGCGAACGCAGAAACCGAGAAAATTATCCACGAAACACCAAGAATCAGTGGGATAGAATGGGCGACAAGGGCGACAAACGTTGATTCACACAACACAAGTGCTTCATTTTCCTGGTTATTGTGGGTAAGATGTATCCAACCGTTGTTGGTTGGACCGTCATTCCTGCTTGAAAAGTTGGGTACATCCCAGATCCACTAATTAGTCAGTTAGTCATCATATTCCCGTGAAAGCTTGTCAATTGACCATCAACCCTTGCTGGTGAACCCCCACATGTCCGGACAAAGCATGAGCCATCAGCCAACTAGATATGATCTCCATTGTTTAGTGGTAAAAAATGGTAAAACTACGTATAACCCCCGCAAATCTGATGGCAAAATACCAGCCATATCGCCAGGAAAATCGCAGGCCCCGAGCCCAAACGGTGCCCTGGCAACTGGAATACCAAAATTGGATGGAAATTCGGATCAACATCTGAATCTAGCAAATACCTATTGGATCTTATTGGTGTAAATGGGTGAACATGGGTGAACATGTTTATCCTCGGGACAGGGATAAAGAAGCATTTGGCATCATTTGGAACTGGAAGGTATTCTGAAGCATAAAATGATGGAATTTGGGACCATGAACACTCTGTACCAAGCCAACCGAGGACATCACAGAACGGAAAGCACCGCGCAAAGTGTCCTACCACGTGGATGAAGACGAGTACTATGCTTGGTAGCACTTGACTGCCAGTCCTCTGAATCATTTAGAATTTAGTGTTTCTTTCTCCGTTCTTCTTCATCATTCAGTGTTTGTTTCTCCGTTTTTGGCGGTGAAAGCCACAACTTTGTCTTGATGAGATAGGTTATGTAATATAATACATCATATAAAGACTTATAGAATTATATAGTTATATATATATATACACATATGATATACCTGTATTTTATATGATATATATATATATATATGTAATTATATATAAATACACGTACATGTAGTGCAACTTGTTCCGCAAGAACAAATGCTTTGTTGATGAATCTTTTGCAGTTCAAGTCGCCCAGGCGAGCGGCTCATGCGTGCGGATGCCTGGTGAAACACGGTGATTTCACACATCAAGGTAGGGATGGCAATGACAATTCAGAGTCCAAAATGCTTAACAACTGAAATCCTCCAGAATTTGTAGATGAATTGCATTGTCTGATTCCGTCCCCTTTTTTGTTAGCGACGCTCTTACTGTTGGTGACTGATCCCTATCTGAGGCACTTTGGCCTTGGGACCGTGGCCGAGGACCTGATTTTGATCAGTGAAGATGTCATTTGGGTGGTTTCAAACATACCAAGAACCAATGACATATTGTATGTTTGAAACATTTTGAAACCATCAAAGATAACTTTGACATGTAACATGTCAAATTTTTAAAGTGTTGGGCCATCAAGTTGGATCTATGAGTTCTATCCCAATGATTGGCAGGAGCTGCCTCCTGGAGTGGCAGATGCGGCCCAGGTGCCTGCACATTGGTTTGTTTCGAACAAATTGGGGGATGACATGATTGGAGAATGGGGAACTGTGGCAAAATGGGCCGATTTGTTTGAAATGAATTTCATTGTGAATTTTCATGAGAATTTAGAAGGAATGACCTTCGGAATGGGTACACAGAACTTACAAAAAAGGAATGTGTTCAACGATTTTTAGGAGCAAGCAGGCAGCGAAGGACCCGGATGTAGCATCTGATATGGCATTGAAACCAACAAAGATGGACTTGGACAACAGGTTTATAGGCGGGGCTGAAACCAAGAAAGATGATGAAATTAGCAGTTGCAAATGCCATGAAAAAACGAAAAACCGTTGTACCTGAGACCGTCCATCATCAGTCCTACCGTGTTGGGATGGTCTCGAAAAATCATCATTGTTAAAAACCATAAGCTATCTGTTTTCATAGGCCATCTATACCATAGCAAACTGTTAAACATGTTAAACAACCTGAGGGTAATGCAAAACACATAATTTGGTTTGATGGTTTATACCACCCATCTATGGTAAATTTGGGGATGGTGTATTGTTTAACTAACACAAGTTCATGCTAGTAAATGCTAGTAAATGGCACTAAATCATGGAGATTTATGATTGCTTCACTAGCATTAGGTAATGCAAATAGGTGTCCCAAAAGTTCCCCAAAATCATGGGGACTGCCCGCTGGTTGCGTCAGATGATGCGCCTCCAGCAGCAACTGCTACGAACTCAGCGAATTTTTGAAGGTTTGGGTAGAATATTGTTTTTTTAAGCACTTCAGTTGATATTCTACATCAAGACCTGTGGGACTATGGAGTTCACAACCCGTGTGGCACTGATGGAACCAGTCCCCTGGTTTTCTCTGCAATCAGGTTCTGTTTCAATGTTTCTTGCTAGTACTTTCCCCATTTTCCGCCATTCCCATTAAAGACAATGCTGGGCCCACCCCAAGTGTCCACCAAGTCAAGCACATGCAGCTGGAAGCACCATGCCGTGGCCCCAGAAACAAAGAATCATGGCCCTACTGTGCCACCCCCCGAAGCTCAACATGAAAAAACCCGGAGCACATTTTGAAGTACTCCTTGATATGACCACTGCGAAAGTTCCAAATTAGATTTAGGGGGCAACAAAAAAAACTTACTAATATCTTGGATTCTGATCACTTGGGTCTAATGACTTGTGGTTGGGATAAATGGGGTAGTTCATTCATTCCAAAAATCATCCCAATACGAAACATGCCGTGGGATGCTGTGGATGAAATTCCACTTCCTCTTTCAATGTAGACCCCATCCATACCCCACCATATCCCTACCACGACAAAAAACGGGGGTGTCATGGTATAGCCAGAATCAAATAGCCAGATACAACTACATACTCTTGCAATCTCTTTCAGTGTAAGAAAAAGATGACATACTATGGATGGTTGCGAAATCCTGCACCATTTTTTTGATGGCTGAACCCCCAACAAAATAATGGGATGTTTACCACCTATCAACTGGTGGATTTTGCAACCATCCACCGTAGCTATATACTCATCATTCGCAGCCAGGGCCGCAGCGGCAGCAGCTGCCTCCCTGAATCCCTTGCTGGCACCACCTTTGCCGGGATGCCTTGAAGCAAAACAGAGTTTTTTTTGACCGGTTGGAGCATAATTATCAATATATATATATGTATACACATATAGATAGAATATATTGTATATAACATTATATCTATATACATATCTATCACTTTTTTGTTTTAAAGATATTTACATGTGTGTCTTAATATCCCAGCTTATGTACCTTTGAAGATTTTGCAGGCCCTTGCCTCATGCCGGGTATTATCCTGGCCTTTCACCCTGGCCTGGTCTTCATCCTCAGGCCCAGAGTGAATCGGGTGCCAAGTAGTGCTATTTGATCATCGAAGGGGGGAAAATGGTGAGACTCCTTGAGCTACTTGGAGCTACCACATCTTCCAATGGGGTCCCGTTTTCTGTCAGGCTTTCCTCCCCGGAGCTTTAGCACCCCCTCTGGGAGCAGTGCCTCCGGCAGGCGGGTTTTTTGGGGGATGTGAAATGGGATGATTTTCCTTGTATCAACCACTGGAAAAAAACATCAGCGCTATTGGATTTTAAATCGAAAATTGGAAACATCAAAAGAAGAAGACAAAACACAAAGAGGATCCATCGGATCCATCGGATCCATAGTTCTTGCAGAAATTGAATTCAGAAATCCATTCGTCTGGAGAAGGCACCATTGCTCAGTTTTTGGCCCGGAAGCTCCATCGACATTTGTCTCATAGAAGATGTGCCCATAACACTTATCAATGAGTATTCCCAAATATATATATATATATATGTCGTTGGATCGTAGATCGCAACGCCACTGATAACGGTTCCCACCTGAATGATTCAAGGTCCTCCTTGATCACCAGAAAGTAGTTGATGTTCAACCAAAATAAAGTCGTTCCAACAGTGTTGTCCACAGCACCAAAAATGTATATCTATCCAACCAAATCCCAAAAGAGTCCACTCTTCACCTTCCAACCAATCCTGTGGCGGCACTCGAGATTTTCCCCTATCTCGCTGAAATTGGCCTTGAGCCACGAGTCAAAAGGCACATAATGAATGTGCTTTCCCCTGACAGGAAACAATCGAAGGTGTATGCGGCAGCAGCAAGTTACGAAACTCACACTGGTCTCTTTTCTATGTTCGATTCTTTCACCCATGTGACACCATATTTTCGATTCGAGTTCTGTTTGAGGGTCATTTCTTCATCGTAGATTCTGAATCTTCCCAACTGCAAAACGGTGCGTAAGAAAGTTGAGTCCATGGACTTCGTTAGGCAGTCTGCCAACATGATAGCAGTGCTGATCCAGCGGCATTGGGTATGGTTAGCTGATTGTTCCTTCAGCAACATGACTTCTATGGTGGTACGCCACTCCTGGCAATTTGGCGCTGCAGTCTTCGTGACTAAGTCATATAAGGATTTACAATCAGTGATCATTAACCCTGGTGGTTCTACACAAAGAGACTTTTCAGGTTTATGCCAAGCAAAAGAGGGATCCTTTATGTAACCCCACATGCATCTAATCCACGTTAACTTATCTAGTGAACTGGACATAGCGTATGCTTCGGCACTCAAAGTAGAACGAACCACCCTACCAATCTGTTTGGTATGCCATGCAACTGGAGAGAAGTCTGTCGTCTCATTGTTTGCTAGTTTCCGTGTGCATGCCATGATAAAAATCCCTTGCTGGGCTGACATCTGTTTGGCCGAAGCGAAGCTTGCATCACCAAAGCTTGCGAAGCAGAGCTCCGTCATGGGGATCGGACGTACGATCACAGAGGTGTTGGCAAACTCTTGGGTTTCTTTGAGTACTCGATTTGCATCTAGCAGAGTTTGCACGGTCGCCTTGGTAATACCCTTCTGCAGGTGCGCAACTTTTGCGGCCACATCGGGCCGGGAATGCACTGCGGCGTATTGTAGGCTCCCGCAAATCCCCCTTAGTTTATTTAACTCCTGTGGAGTGATAGGGCTATCAACTTCTGCTCTACGGAGTTTAGGGATGTCTATGGGAGTTATTCTTTGGACATATTTTTCTTGGCTAACTTTGATAGAAAAATCCGGCAACTGTTCTATTTCAAGTCCTGTGAAACGGAATTTGCGTTTTTCATGTGAGCCGAAAGGAAGCTTTTTCTGAAGTTGTTGTAGGGCATAGCTAAATTTGTGGTTACCTGCCCCCAAACCGTCATCCACATGAGTACCCACTATCCCATTGAGGATCTTTGGATCTTTGGGGTCTCTTAACAAGTACAAACAATTGTCCAAGGGATGTGCGGTGAAACCTACTTCTTCTAAGCATTTCCGAAATTCGCGATAGAATAACAAAGGGGCATCTACCCGTCCATAAGCATTTCCTTCTAGTAGGCAGATCTGATGTTTTTCCATTCCAAGCAGTTCTCTCAACTCCTTTGGGGGTTCCATTGCTAGTTGACGATCATCGGATTTCCCTCGTAGAAAGGCAGTAGTGATGTCAAAGCTTTCAATACACCATTTGTGGCTGGCAGCTGTCTGGAGTAATAACATCCTGCCATCTCGGGTGAGAGTGGGACTATCGGATGCTAATTCCCCAATGTCGGGGTCCTGAAACCCTTTTACCACAAGTCGTGCTTTTGGTTTCTTTCCATCTTCGCTATTTTCATCTTCCTTCCAAGTCAGTATCCATCTAGAGGCTAAAACTCTGGAGGGGTGAATTTTATCCCGAACTATGGTTCTTACCGTTTGAGTATCCAACCAACAATTCAATTCCTTCAACTTGGCTTGCTTGAACCTCTCTCTCTCTTGGGGTGTCAAGTCACTGTAAACAAGTTCTTTCCCAAACTTGCGGGCTGCGGCATTGACCTCTGGCAGGTGCTATTTGGGAGATTTGAGGAACTTATGGAATTGTTGTTTTGGCATTTCAAACTCAAAAGACACACACGCTGCTTCGCAAGGGTCGGGCATTGACCAAAGAGCGCCATCGTCATGAACACAGTCTGTCGTCTCGGTATTCTTCTCGATGATAACAGCATTATACACAGGTTCCATGTTACTCGGAGTTTCATTTTCCGACTGATCTGTGTCCAATGATGCAGTGTCAGGAGCAGATTGTGCCAGGCTCGGGCTTGGAACCATTGATTCAGGGCTTTCTTCACTATTGGAAGAAAACGGGGAGTCTGGAACAGGCGTTTCGACCGCAGGGTCGTGCATGGTTTCGTCAGGAATTTCGATCTCCCCTCGTTGGCGTCTGATTGGTTCTTCCTCTGGTTGTCGAGAGGTCGAAAGTTCGCTATTGCCATCGTTTGCCTCTTCTTCTGTTGGAGGATTCACCTCAGATAAATCGGAGTATTGAAACATGCCACTCTTTTCTTTCAACTGTGTCTGTAAACGTTGTGCCATTTGTTTCAATTCTTCTTGGGTATTTGAAGTTGTAAAAGTGGAGTGTCTTTGAAATTCACGCATGGAAACTGGTCTGAGATTTTCATGGGCACATCTTAACAACCGATTCATGTGAGTGATCCATATGATTGTTCTTGATTCCTGGCAAACTACCTGTGCTGGACCACACCATCGTCCTTTCTCCAATATGTTCGGGGCTTTTCGTTTATCCCAAAACATGCACAACTGTCCACACAGCCATTCATGTATCACACCTCGTGACCTATGAAGGGCTGCTCTGCGAATTGCAGCATGATTGTCAGCATGCCAGAAAGCTGCTCTTGCGGCTGTCCGCAATTCAAGACTTCGCTTAAACTGCTCGGATGCTGGGTCGGGTGAAAGGCACATGTGATGAGCAGTTGATTCTTCGTCTGAGAGTAGTGACCCAGGAAGTTTAGAGGCCTTACCTAGTACAGCTTGTTCTGGACTATATCCGTTATTCACTATCATAGATTTTTTCGCTCGGAAACACTGGTTAAGAGCCTCATCTATTTCAGCTAGACTGGTGAAGTTCTGTGCATGGTCCATTCTTTCAAGCATTTCCTTGATCACACCTCCATGTCTCTCGATACGACCACGTTGCCACGGAGCGGCAGTGAGCACTGGCTGAATGCTGTGGGCTTGCAAAAAATCTTTCCATGGCTGGGATACAAACTCTCCACCTTGATCATGTAGTATTTCCTGTGGGGATCCTGCCCATTGAATCCACATCTGTTTCGTTGTACGGATGGAGGCTTGGGTATCCCGGGTTATCCTTTGACCTAAATGGAAACGGGTAGCATCATCTAGGATATGGAACACATAGATTTGAATACCCCTTTTACTACACCAGTCAAAACCATCCAAAAGAATTCTTTCATTAAAATCCTTCGGGTCTTTGAGTTGGCCGGGAGTAGTCTTTTGTGGTGGGTGTCTCTCAGCACATGACGGACACACGAAGTCGGCAGCACCTTCCACCAGGTGTTCATGTGCTTTGGATTCCTTTAGATGTCGGGCCAGTCTTTCGGCTGTGGGGTGTCCTAGATTATTATGAATCTTGCGCAACATGGACTGTTGCTCTCGAGTAAGTTTCAGGAAATTTGGGCCTGAAACAGTGGCACTTAAAGGAGTCCAGCTGGGCACATCTACCTGCACTGGTGGACTGGCTGTTGATTCAGCGGCTTTTGTCTCAATTGATCCATTGGCGGGATCGGCTGCTGGCATTATAGGTGTATCAGGTCGGCTGTCATCTCTGGAAAACAAACACAACATGATATGGCTTGGCACCTCTTTTCGACAAGCCCTTTTCCGAGTTAATTCACTCCAAACTTCAAGTCCTAGGTCAATTATTTCATGAGTGAATCTTTTCTGTACTATGCTATGTCTTTTCGGCAGCTGATCTCTCCAAGCCTCTTCGCCCAACAAAAGACGATCTAGGCCTTTTCCTGCTTTGACTGCACCAATGTTCTCATGTGGAAACAGTTTCTGAATTTCCTGGAAGACTTCATCTTGCGGGTCTTCCCAAGTGACAACACCTGATTTGGGAAGTTTTCTCTGTAGAAATTCAAACATTGGTTTCCACACGTTCGTGGTGTCGTGTGGTGCAGAGGCTTCACCAGAGTTGGTACGTGCCCTTTTGGCAGGTGGCTCTATTTCATCTACATGGCAAATTGGCGCCTCATAGGGGCCTTGGGATGTTTGCATGATTCCACGGACAATGGTCAGCGCAAGCTTGCGTGGATAGAAAGCAGCAAACCTGGACACGGAAATGCTATGGCCCTTCCACTGACATCTTCCTGCTATGGTACTATGACTATGTTCACGATTGCAAACACGGCAGTCCAAAACAGAAAACATTTCGACTGAGGTGGTTTGTATGCGAGTGGATTTTCTCATCAACTGATTTTCACTTGGATGTCTCAGGCCAAAAGCACATTGGTCCAGCTGGGCCGGAATGGAACGCTTCAAAAACGGCTGTATCTCCTGCTGCTTCCAAACGCCGGAGGTTTTGGTGCTTTCCAGATGGGTGTGTCGACCCTCATCATGCTGAATCTGAGCTACCACATTACACAATACCAAGTGTTCTTTGGCAAGACGCTGTTGGTGCATGACTTGTTCATAACTAGAAAGGCTTCGCATGGAATTAAAGCGGTTCCAGGCACACCAAGGACCACATTCCGGGGCAAGCCAAATATGTTTTGGTCTCTGTGTCTTGATGATGTGAAACAAAGCTCCTCTTCCAGTAGATGTCGATAAATCCCCATCTTCATATGTAAACCTCCTTGCTCGCAAACCATGTTCTTGTGCCACAGTGGTCAACATGCTGTTAGGGAACGCATACACTTCTAGGATGTCCAACTGTTCTGACTTGTGAAAGCTCTTTCCACATTCTGACTGTTGCATCTCAGTCCACAATTGTCTTTCTTTAAAACTAGATTTATGTGACATCCTAGAATCTTGAAATCCCTCCCAAATGCCTCTCATGGAACCGGGTTGTTGGCCAATTGCTCCAGTTGATTGCGAGCTCGGGCATAGCTTGCGAAATCCGCCACATCCTCGGAAAGGTTGTCGGCTCTGGCCAAGATCCACTTGATGTAACCTGGGTCGGACTCGTACACATGGGCGTAACGAGACCTCAGGTGCTTTTTGCCAAAGCCCACGATCTTGTTTCCCCAGCTTTCGGGGGATGCTTGAGTCACCATCAATTGGCTTCCAATCTCGGAAGCTGCGTAAGACGATCCTGGGCTTCCCATCATTGCAGCTGGTGGTCGGGCACTTGGTGTCATTGACACGTGCGGCATGGGCTGTCTCACTGGCATTGGAGGAGGCTGATTGTTGGGAGCTCTGACATTCATCATCACAGCAGGCATCGATTGGGAAGAATTTGGCACCGTTGATGCAGCTTGGCCTTGTGACGGCACCATCTCGGCTTCCCATTCGAAATCTTCTGATCCTGGAACGTGGTTCACAGGGCTCACTATAGGTCCTGGACATGTGGGTGGCTTCTGTTGGAACTGAGCTTGAATCAGATTCCCCAACTGGTCGATCGTCCGACGTTGCTGGGCCACTTCGTGAATCAACTGATTCACAGGGTTCATCTGGAGCTCCGTGGCTTCTTGGTTCGGATCGATCGCACTGGTCATGGTGAACACGATGGTCATCAGGAGCTTCAGACTGGCTAACACTTCCTCTGCCACTGTGCGAAGAGCATCGAGCACTTCCTGACGGGTCGGCATGACTGGCAGGAATTTCACTTTCCAGACCTGGAGGCGGGGCACAGACACTTGATGCGACAAAAGCTGCTGCATTGGACTTGACATCAGGTTGACAAAGATCGGACATGTCAATCATGAACAACCCATTCTTGTTTTCTTTCAAATACAATGACCTTTGCAACGTCTTGAGAAAACATGTGTTTTGCCCTAGGTCTATCATAGCTCCTAAACTCTTCATGGTCTTAATTGACAGCAGGAAAGGTGTGGCTTTCGGCACTACTTCAATTAGCAACCAAATTCGGATTCCCTTGTGGACCAATGGTATGCGTAACTGCTTGTAGCTATATGCAACTTGGTTATTTCCAAAACGGAAACCTACTCTTCTGGGTTTCTCCACGACTTGGTCACGGACACTGGCTGGCAGTTTTTGGAGCATCGCGGGGACATGGTCTTGTCCGATCACACTGCGACTGGCACCTGTGTCCAGTATGGCCATTCCTTGACTTTGCATGGCATCTGAGTGATTCTGGCTGACAAAACCATCGGCTCTATTGGTTGGTCTCGGATGCATCTTCCTGACGGCACGGGTGTTGGGTGCTGAGGTCACCACTGCTGGGTTCAGGCTGTTTTCTGGACCACTGTTTTTGGTTACCCCTTTATCCCCAATTACCCCTTTATTACCCCGCTTATACCCCGGCTTATTCAGTTTCTTACCCCAAAAGGCTTTCACGTCTTCAACATTTTGCTCGCAGAAAATTGGTTTTCGGTAGCATGAGGCAACGAAACATGTTTCACAACGGGTGCACTCCTGTTCACTCAACTCTTCAAAGACCACTTGGCTGGTCTCCTCTTCGGCATCGGATGCTTCGGAAGGCATGGAGAAGGCAACGTAGGCAGTTTCACGGGCTTCTTTCCTCTGAGGGCATTCTGCGCGCCAATGACCAAGGGCGCCGCAGAGCTTGCAATGCGTTTTTGCAATGCGAGCCAACAACTCTTCTTTTCCAGACTTTCCAACACCTTTGCGGTATGGCCGGGAGCCATCTTTGAACCCACCTTTCCCTTTTCCTTTTCCAGTGGGCCAAAACCCTCGGCTACGACGGCGATCATTGATCCTCTGCCTAGCCTCATTGTATGAGACCATTGCTTGTTGCATATCAGGAATCTCTTGCAGCATCTCTTCGAATCACGCTCAAACTGTTGCACTACGTTGGCATCCTCATCTCCCTGAGACACTCGGTATTCCAGATGCTCGGTTGTCAAAACATCCTCTTCCTCATGGTATGCAACGTAAGTGCTCTGAACCGGAAGGCTTTCATCAGATTGGGCAGGTGGCTCTTCCACCTCTGTGAAATTGATTGGGTAAATCTTTTTCTTGGTTTCACCAGGGCCCATCAACACACGTGTGGACAACGACGTCATGGCTTGGTCAACTGCGGTCAGATCCAGCTTACCACCTGTCATCGTCAGGATTTTCTTTTTGTCTTCAGACGACAAACCTGACTGTCTCAACATCACGAAGGCTTGCATTTGTTTGACAGTGACATCATCACCTATCTCATTGAATGCAGCTTGAAGGCGAAGTGAGAAACTATGGGAGGCCTCATCAGACTTCTGTACTACCTTGTAGAGTGCTCGTTCAAACAGTTCATACGTTTTCATCTCTGATGTTTCTTCCCAAGCTGACAAAGCGGCCAACAAGTATTCAACACCTGAGTCGGCCTTGGTGAGCTTCTTCGGATCTAACTGACGCACCTGGGACCAAGCTGTCCCTTTACACAACATAGCTAACCTGGGAGCTAAGTTGGGCTTGTCCTTCTCGGGCATGACACCGTGGATGAACCTGGCTTTCTGTGAAAACTCTCGTATGTCATCTTCACTCGGGTCAAAACTGGGCAGCAAATTCCAAAAATTGGAACCCTGCTGGGAGTCACCGTTCCCATCAGTTGAGGCAGACTCTTTAGGAGGCATTGCTCACAATCCAGAAGCCACCAAACTAGCGGGCCGGCTTTGCGTGCAAGTAGCACGAGCCTCTAGGCTCCGCTACCAGTGTCGTTGGATCGTAGATCGCAACGCCACTGATAACGGTTCCCACCTGAATGATTCAAGGTCCTCCTTGATCACCAGAAAGTAGTTGATGTTCAACCAAAATAAAGTCGTTCCAACAGTGTTGTCCACAACACCAAAAATGTATATCTATCCAACCAAATCCCAAAAGAGTCCACTCTTCACCTTCCAATCCTATGGCGGCACTCGAGATTTTCCCCCTATCTCGCTGAAATTGGCCTTGAGCCACGAGTCAAAAGGCACATAATGAATGTGCTTTCCCCTGACAGGAAACAATCGAAGGTGTATGCGGCAGCAGCAAGTTACGAAACTCACATATATATATATATATATATATATAGTGACTATAGTGATTATAGTGTTTACGTGGCAATAGATACTTTTTTTTTAGAACACCAATGTACTCAGCATACATGCTGCATGAATATGTAAATGTTGATGTATGATGTATGATGTCCCACAGATATTCTGGGCCTTTTTTCATGCAGGTGCCTGGCCCTATGCCCTGCCATATGCTGGTCTTGATCCCACTGTGGCTGCCATGGCAGCATCTGCTGCAGGAGGGCTGCTGATTTCCCCATGGAAATTTGGTAGGGAATGCGCCCAAAAACATATGGTACATGTGCCACGTGGGGATTCGTTTGAATGAGAAATTAAGCTACAAAAGGGGCATATAATCGAGAAGTGATGGTTGGTTGATGGTTGGTCGTGAGGCTATACTGACTGCTCTAATCGTGATGGTGAAATTATACAGCATGGGAAACTTTATCAATCAGAAGAGACAGAGGGGTTTGGTCATTGCTCAATTGACAAGTTTCCTGACAGTTGCCCTCTGGCAAGTTAACATTTTGCTATGGAAAATCACCATTTTTCATAAATAAAACATCGAACTAACTAAATGGATCATTTTCCATGGCTATATCCATATTTTACCTTCCGAAGTTTTGCTGCGGCCAGCGTGTCACTATTGATGCAGGAGAAGCCGCTGCTGCGGCCGCAAATGCGGGGGAGCCTTCTTGAAACCATTGGGATGGTGGAAAGGTTGTCCTGTTTTTTGTGAGGACCCATAAGGAAGACATAACAGCAGGAAAACCTCCTGGTTGAAGGGCTAAACATCCAATTCCCTTGTTTTTTTCCCTGTAATTAACTTCAAAGACTGTTGTTTGATGGTTCTGCAAGATGTTCTACTACAACGCTTGATGGGAATTATCATCCGTTGTAGACTTCAACACTTGCGGAATCACCAGAACGGAGGATGAACATCCACAACAGTCAGCTAACTTTGGGTTTGGAAACTGTGCAGTTGATATAGTTTTGTTGCCCGTATTCACATGTGATATCAGTGATATGTGGTTGGAATATGTGTGAATTTTCTATATATTTCATGCTTAGCCATTTTCTAATGATATCCCCGAGGCACAGGCACGAGCTGCTGCTATGTCCGGGCGACCAAGGATGACTCGGGACAACTCATTTGCCATGTCCACCACCATTGACTGATACTGTAAGCAAGAGGGCGACCAAAAATCCTTTGGTTTAGAATTTTCCCAAGTTTTTCACCACATCAAAAATGGGCCATTCTCCATTTTTGGACACATAAGTTCAGACTGAGGACGCTGAAAGGCCGCGGACGCACCCGCAGTGAACGCAGCCGTGCTGTTTGGGGGCCAAGTTCAGTGCCGGTCAGCGCCATGGCCTGATAAAATCGACAAAATCCCATGGGTTTCTAAGGTGAAACACTTTTGACATCAGACGCCAATGGTCTCAGTTTGGAGATAGGAAAATCTGGTGCTCAGCCGGTCGTCATGTTTTCCGAGGCGAGCACTGACAGTTCCGGGCTGCCTGGACCTGAGCTTTGCTGGAGGAATTTGGAAGGTAGGAGAACTTTGCTATCTCTGAATTTCTGAATTTGAAGGTAAGGCTTTGGAGTAACAAATGATGTTTTGCTACTTTTCTCTACTTTTCATGTTTTGATGTGCAGTTTTTCAGGATGTTGCTCCATTTTCATCCACCTTCAAATTTCAGCTACGAAATGGGGAGGACTTGGGCTACAGTACAGATTGCCAGCCAGGATTTTTTTGTACAAACAGGAGGGGTTGTGCCCCCCATTTTGTATTTGGAATCATTTTGTAGTTGATTCCTTACAAATCATCATTTTCATTTTGTAGTTGTATATGTTGAGTTAGTTGAAGCATCCAACATAAAATATCATTAGCATTTTGTAGTTGTACAAGTTGAATAGTTGAAGCGTCCAACATAAAATCTCATTTGCATTTTGTAGCTGTACAGGTTGAATAGTTGAAGCATCCAACAAAAAATCTCATTTGCATTCATTTGCATTTTGTAGTTGTATGTATGTTGAGGAAGTTGAAACATTCATAAAATGATATAAAACATAATTAACATGATTTAAAATGCAACATGAACAGATCATGAAGCTACAGAATGCCATCTAACAAACTGCACGGGGTCAACACTTGATCCAACTAAATTCAATCATTGACAACTACAAAATGTTCTCCGAATTTATGTTGATCGGAACTTTGGATGGCAAAGACCCAACTACAAAATGTCATTGGGAAAAATCATGTTAGCAATTCCGACGTTCAGCTATTTTTTAACTTCAGATGCATTGGATTTTGTAGTACTGGTTTTGAATTATTTTCCGAGCCAGAAAGAGTTATGTTCTTCATTTTGTAGCTGCAAAACAAGATGAAGCCCACGAACCCGAATGCTCACACGTATGTTAATGGTACAGATGTCAAAACACATGGTTATGCAGTGACGCACAATACCTATCTGCAATAGTTTATTTGAACAGTCTTGTACATGTTTCCCTTGTTACCAGTCTGCAGTGTGGAGTGGAAAGTCTAGAGTGTGGAGTGTGGAGTGAAGTAGGGAGTGTGGAGTGTAAAGTGTGGAGTGGGGAGTGTAGAGTGTGTAAAGTGTAGAATGCGGAGTGTAAAGTGTAGAGTGCGGAGTATGGAGTGTAAAGTGTAGAGTGTGAAGTGTAGACTGTGGAGTGTGGAGTGTAGAGTGTAGAGTGTGGAGTGAGGAGTGTAAAGTGCAAAGTGTGGAGTGTGGAGTGTAAAGTGTAGAGTGTGAAGTGTGGAGTGTAAAGTGTAGAGTGTGGAGTGTAGAGTGTAGAGTGTGGAGTGTGGAGTGTGTGGGGTGAGGAGTGTAAAGTGCAAAGTGTGCAGTGTGGAGTGTGGAGTGTAAAGTGAGGAGTGTAAAGTGTGGAGTGAGGAGTGTGGAATGTAAAGTGAGGAGTGTAAAGTGTGGAGTGAGGAGTGGAAAGTGTAGAGTGTGGTGTGTAGAGTAAGGAGTTTGGAGTGTAAAGTGTGGAGTGTAGAGTGTGGAGTGTGGAGTGTAGAGTGTGGAGTGTGGATTGTAAAGTGTGGAGTGAAAATTGTGGAGTGAGGAGTGTAAAGTGGAAATCGTGGAGTGTAAAGTGTAAAGTGTGGAGTGTAGAGTGTAAAGTGTAGAGTGTGGAGTGTAAAGTGTGGAGTGTAAAGTGTAGAGTGTGGAGTGTAAAGTTTGGAGTGTAAAGTGTGGAGTTAGGAGTGTAAAGTGTGGTGTGTGGGGTGTAAAGTGTGGAGCGTGGAGTGTTTACTGGAAAGTGTGGAGTGTGAAGTGTGGAGTGTAAAGTGTGGAGTGAGGAGTGTAAAGTATGGAGTGTGGAGTGAGGAGTGTAAAGTGTGGAGTGTAAAGTGTGGAGTGTGGAGTGAGGAGTGTAAAGTGTGGAGTGTGGAGTGTAGGGTGTGGAGTGTAAAGTGTGGAGTGTGGAGCGTAAAGTGTAGAGTGTGGAGTCTGGAGTGGAAAGTGTAGAGTGTGGTGTGTAGAGTGTGGAGTGTAGAGTGTAGAGTGTGGAGTGTAAAGTGTGGAGTGAGGAGTGTAAAGTGTGGAGTGTAAAGTGTGGAGTGTTGAGTGGAAAGTGTGGAGTGAGGAGTGTAAAGTGTGGAGTGTTGAGTGGAAAGTGTGGAGTGTGAAGTGTGGAGTGTAAAGTGCGGAGTGAGGAGTGTAAAGTGTGGAGTGAGGAGTGTAAAGTGTGGAGTGTGGAGTGTAAAGTGTGGAGTGTGGAGATTGGAGCGTAAAGTGTAGAGTGCGGAGTCTGGAGTGGAAAGTGTAGAGTGTGGTGTGTAGAGTGTGGGGTGTGGAGTGTAAAGTGAGGAGTGTAAAGTGTGGAGTGTGGAGTGAGGAAAGTGCCACGCCTGCCACGCAAAACGACAGGACAACCTGCTGTGAAACATTCGAAAAGGTCAGGTTTTCCAGCTTCCCCCATAGACGCGGCGACGCCACAGGAAAACCAGAGACTCGAAACGAGACACGTGGGTGCAAAAAAACGAGCATTTCGTGCGAGGCTTCCTCCAATATTGATATTTTCCACACGTTATCAAACAAGTTTGGAATGTCACAAAGTGCCACGCCTGCCACGCAAAACGACAGGACAACCTGCTTGGAAACCTTCGAAAAGGATATGTGTTCCAGCTTCCCCCATAGACACGGCGACGCCACAGGAAAACCAGAGACTCGAGACGAGACACGTGGATGCAGAAAAACCAGCATTTCGTACGAGACTTCCTCCAATTTTGATATTTTCCACACGTCATCAAACAGGTTGGAATGTCACAAAGTGCCACGCCTGCCACGCAAAACGACATGACAACCTGCTTGGACACATTCGAATAGGAGGGGTTTTCCAGCTTCCCCCATAGACACGGCGACGCCATAGGAAAACCAGCGACTCGACACAAGACACGTGCATGCAGAAAAACCAGCATTTCGTACGAGACTTCCTCCAATTTTCACAGTTGGCAACATGACAAAAGAGACAAGTTTTGCAGCTTCCCCCATAGACACGGCGAGGCCACGGAAAACCAGAGACTCGAGACGAGACAGGTGAAGCATTTCGTGCGAGACATTCAGCTCCATTTTTTTGTAGCCAATTTTCACACTTTGTAGCTTCAAAATCGACGTTTTCCTACGAGTTTTCCTTAGAACCCGAAAATTTGCAACATCAAAATCGATGTTTCGTGCGAGGCTTCCGTCAATTTTCAGCACATCGCACAAAATGCCACGCCTGCCACGGAATTTGCACCTTGTCGCCACTTGACGCAGCCCTGCCAATGCGATTTGCAAAAAACACGCAACGCGACACGTCTAAAGTGCTGCGCCTGCCACGAAAAATGACGATGGACACGCCCAAAGTGCTGCGCCTGCCACGAAAACTGCAACACATCTTCTGAAAACGTCGCAAAAGTATTGCGCCTGCCACGCGAAACGACTTTCGACACGTTGCAGAACACGTCTGAATGTCACGAAGTGCCACGCCTGCCACGCGAAACGAAGCAACCAGACGTCTGAAACCTCCAAAAAGGACCACCTCTGCAAAACTTCCCATAGGCACGGCCATACGGGGATCGCGCGAACGGTTGCGGACGGTTGCGAACGGTTGCGCTCGCGAACGCAACGTCGAGCGAACACACCCTCAACCCCCAGACCCCCAGAGTGAAACGGGAACCCTTGCTACGCATTCGGGAAAAAGTAACATGCACTGCATTTTGTAGTTGTGCACCCTATGCATTCCGTTCTGTATCTACCAAAACCATCTGCACAACTCCTCCCCCCTTATCTGAACCCTGAACCATTTTCTCAGTGCCGTTGCAGCCGAGGCCTGCTCCCCAAGTGCAGAAACCGGCGGCAGAGAAGACGCCTCCAAGCCCGCCAGTCCGGCACTGAGATTTCTGGCATCAATTCTCAACAATTGGACTTTTCCCAGCAAAAATGAGGGGAAATCATGATGCAACATATTGATAAAATCTTGCAGACATGGTTTAACCATGTTTAACCATGTTTAACCATGTTTAACATGATTTGATGAAGGAAGAGGGGTCGAGTCGGGTCAAGTCGGGTCGAATGCCATGAGGTGAATGGCACGACCATCATGCTCCGGAATCTTCCACAGAGGCGATGGGATCACTGGGACCAACTTGGAGAATCAACAAGTGAAGAAACCACTGGAGAAACCACTGGAGAAACCAGTGCAGTGAATAAGTGAAGTGAATAAGTGAACGGCATGACTGTCACTGATTCTTCACTTCTTCACTTCTTCACTTCTTCACTGCTTGCTGCACTGTGGCGATTTGTGTTAAAGGCCTTGTTGACACGCCTGACACGCCTTCCACAGCCTCAGCTGTCACATCCAGTTTCGCTAGGTTCACGCAGAAAAGCATGCTGGACTTGCTGGATGGCGAAGGTTTTCATGCGAAATATGTATACCCTGCCATGTTTTGCAGTCAGCCATCAGTTCGTTGCTTTTGGAACTTCAGGTTGCGGACACAGACACATCATTCTGCCCTTGAACGTTTCCAGGGGTCATCAATCCTTTCCCAAGTAAGAGGGGCTATAACGGCATATATACGGCATATAACGATAACGCAATAGCCAATCAACTAACCAGGGGCTCCCTGGATATTTTTGCCCTGCCACGTTGATTTGATACCTGAAGCCCTACAGTGCAGAATCCCCTGCAATGGTCGTCTGGTATCTTTCTACAGTTTCTTCCGGCTGCCAGGACTTTGTGTATTTGCCCATGGATTTCCGACATGGTGTGATAACCCAGTTCCAAAC